GTGAAGGGGGAGGTGGTTTGGGATGGGGATGTCGGTGAGTTTCGAACGGAAGATGATGTCGCCGGAGTAGGAGCCCATGGTTATGGTTTATTAGAGAGATCAATGGCAAGTGTCGAAGGAGGAGGGTGGGATAGTTTCAGAGCTCCTGGACAGGGAAGGGGATGGAGGGGATTTATATAAATCTGGTGGAGGGCAACTGGAGCTCGTGGGGTGGGGTTTGTTGCATGGAGGTTAGATGTGGAGAAAATGATTAGAATAAGTTGTCTTTGTGACCATTTAGGTGTGCGTTGGATAAGACGAAACGAATGCCGGCGATTGCGAGTCAACAGTCTATCAAAATAGTATTTCATGTGGCATGGTCAATGATATCATGCAACGTGACTATAAGCTATGAGTTTTGTTTTTTCTTTATTTGATTAAGGGTATTATGATTTTAAATAAATTTTGTGGCATGAGAATTGAACTTGAAGAGGAAAATGATTGGAAAGTATATATTGTAATTCAAATTATCATTGATGAGTCATCATATATAGGTTTGAACAATTCAATTAAGACCTTGAATGGAACTATTTCAGACAAGTGCCTTCACCTTTATCAATTATCATATCTTTGCTAAGGGCATAATGTGTTTCACAAAATGGTCAGGGAATTTAAATTTATTCTCAGCAGAAAACTCAATGGAATTAATTCTAGCTCCCATTCATCTTCAAGCTTCAGAAAGTTGTCATACATTCGGATGTTTAGAATAATAATGTAGTTATAGTTTATGGCTTGTTTTCATTCTTTTGTCTTTTTGTTTTTTTTTGGTCACCCAAATTTGATTCCAAGCTATAAAAAAAGAAGAAGGATAACTTTTAGGAAGTACAATGGCCATCTTAGATAATTCAAAAAGGGTCAGGCTGAAGATGGGATAGAGGGAGTGAGAAGAAAAAGTAGTATTTTGTCAGAGTTGCATGATACAAAAGCTGCTCGTCTGTAGGATCAAAATTTGGTCTTATATTTCCCTATGCATTAGCCAAGGTTATGAGAACAGACATTAAATCGGTCAAGAAAAATGTTCAGGATTCAAGTTTCAAAAGATAATAAATTATAAATTTATTTAAATATGTAATAAATGATATGACAATAATATAAAGTGTAAGTTAAAAAAATTGATTATAAAATATTAAATAAATACATTAATATTTAAATGATTAACACAACAATGATTTTGTCACGTTATTTCAAAATTTAACTACATTTGATTTTCAAAGAATTTACATATGAAGGATAAGACTCACATCGTGACAACTTTCAAAAAAAATTATATAATGAGTAAAAAATAAATTTTGTTAACAATCTAAAATCTACTACAACTTGCCTCCCTTCCTGAACCTCAATTATTATGTATTGCTACGTGGTGCTGAGGAGCTCTTTGCCCACTGTGTAGTCATATTCTTCCGTAAAACTCTATCTTTTGCCCTCATAGTTGTCATCTCCAATGCATTTCTTCTCCATTGAAAACTCCTTATGTAGACCCCTCGTACAGATTGCTTTCATCCAATTGGCTTATCCTTCATGCCTTTCCTCCTTTTTTTTTCTTGTGGTGAGGCAGCTCTCTTTGAAGTCCTCAAAATGCTTTCCCCCATTGTGAAAGAAGATTCAGAAGAACAAAAATAATTCATTTTAAGTAGACGACGAACAATGAGGTGATCGTGATGATGAGGTAAACATTCACGTGCAATGGTTTTTGCTATCTAATGCCCGATTCACCGATTTTCAGTCGAACCGTGATTTTTGGTCGAATTGCAGTTTCCAAGCAATCACAAACAATTCAATGAGGAAATAATTCTTTCGCACATGACCAGACCAGTGACCAATTCCATGTTGAATCGGCCGGATTCTATCTGTCCAGTCCAATTTTCAAAACAATGGTATTAATAGACACACACATACACAAACTCACACACTCACAAACACAAAAGAATCTAAATTGGCTTTCCTTTAACATGGGTGGTAAATAATTTTAAGTTCCTTATTGAGAATAAATATGCACCCAAAATAGAGAAAATAGGTGGCATAGAAGAATATAATGACAATAAATTGAAGATCAGACATTACATGGAAACATAATATTGCCTTTTCTCATATATGTATATCATGTATACTTTGAAGACTAATGGTCCGTTTGGGGCAGCTTGTGTATTTCAGAATAAGCTATTTATCCTGAAACACGGCCCGCGGGCCGCACCCAGGGGGGGGCCCCCCGTCTGCGTTTAGTGTTTAGTGTAAAAACCCAAATGCTAGCGAAACGCGCGAACCAAACGGTACGGTGGCGTTTTGAAAATGCTGCCCGCACGTATAAGCTACCCCAAACAGACCTTAATATATGTAAATGAGCAAAATCATCTTTGTTACTACAATAGAGTTAGTTAGAATTAAAGGGCTGAGAATAGCTAAAGAATATTGATGAAGACGTGTGATGAAAGGAATTTTAGGGAAGTGTAATAATGTGATGTATATATGTAGAAGAACTTATCACAACAAAGTTTGCAAAGGATAATTTCTCTTATCACCACCCATCAATTCGATTAGCGAATGATTGAATGATCACATGATCCCAAAGTTGCTGAAAGCATGAGATATATAGTGCTTTTGTCAATATACTAGTTGGTTGATCATTACATTGAATGTATAAAACTTTGATTTCATTAATGGAGTGAATGTGTTTTCTAATGAAGTGGAAATTGAGTTAAATGTGCTTAGTTCTTGTGTTAAAAATTAGGTTGTTGACTAATACCATAATCAATATATTTTCGCACTGTAAAGGTGTACCAACTGTATTAGTGATATGGATACCTTGAAGAAGAACACAAAACCAAATTTGTTTAGAGTGACAAACAGTGGTTTTATTGGGAAACCATTCAAGATCATAAGCAATGAATGCTACTAAAATTTGAAATCTCCATATAGAGTAATTTTCATTATTGAATTGAATACTTATCAGATATTTGAGATTTCAAATGGAAATTTTACTGAAAGAGGGGTGTATGTATCTTCTTCCTTAATTAAAGTAGAAGTTTGAGTGGTATTGGCAAAACCATCCATAGTGGAGAAGAAATAGTTGTGTGAGAGAATTTCATATCATGTTGGGAATAGAGCTACAACTAAAATAAACAAAACAAATAACATACAAAAAATGCAAAGATAACAAATTGAAGAGCTGAGATTTCATAAAAAAATTAATATTGCATTTTCATATATGTGTAATGTTCAATACATAAAGAAGAGAAGAATCTTCCATGTCACTATCTCCGTGTCAATTAGATTGAGAAAAAATTGGAGGATAGTCATGAGATAAGTGATGAAGGAATGTCAAGAAAGTAAATTGATATGTTGTATATAAGAAGAATGACTTGTCGTAACAAAAATTATGCATAATTATTTCACCTATTAAGTCCTGCGTCTCCATAAGATTAATTTTTTCCTCTTTATTCTATGCACTTTGTCCCACTTAATAAGTCACATCTAAGACGTACTTTTGATAATGTTATACTCCTAGCATTACATGTCACTTTGTGTGTGATTAAAGTTTATGGAATTAAATTTTCTTTAAAGTGCCACATGCCCATTTTCAACCTATATATTATCTAATTTCTAAGGCTTGCATTTTTAATGTCTATCAATTTAAACCTCATGAGTTTTGGTAGGAAAGTTAGGTGGGTTATGGTATACTTTGTTGGTGTAGACTCATGTTCAACATACACTCATTCTGTTGATATTTTAAATTTTTTTTAAAAGTATTCACCTTTTTTTAGTTATTTTTTTATATTTTTATTCTAATTAGATAATAAAGTTAGTGAGCTTATACAAGTACATCAAGCCATGCATACTATTTTAGAACTTTAGTATTCTTATTTATAGTATTTTAAGATTTCTTAAAATTGGCTTAGTTTAATCCATATGATTACATTAAGAATT